GAGAGGAGAGGAGAGGAGAGGAGAGGAGAGGAGAGGAGAGGAGAGGAGAGGAGAGGAGAGGAGAGGAGAGGAGGAGTCTTGGTTTAAATTACTAGAGCTTTGCCACAAAAGTGATTCATCTCTCCCTATTTTGCCCTCAGCTTCCCACCTAGAACACAGCACCCTTGTCCAAGTTAGGAGAGGAATGCTTTTTCATGCTGGCTAATCTAATCAGTTATGGTGGTCACAGAGTCTAATACTGGATATACAGAAGTTAAAAATCACCAGTATTAGTTTTAAGATTAGTATTCCATACCATTCTGCTTTCTTCTCTTGTCTGTTACTTGGATAGCTGCTTCCTATGATCAGGTAAAGAATAGGATAGCATGTGTGTTCTACCTGAATGGGAATGGAGCTAAGTGTCTCTAATATGTTGTAGCCCTTTGATCAACTGAGCAGCTGGGGCTTCAGTACCGTTCTTCACTTGATTTGTGTATAATAAGAATGTTGGTAGGGAACTAGAAGGAATGGGGATGGATTTGATCAAAATATATCATTGCACGTATGAATTCTAAAACAATAAAAAACCAAATAGTTCTTAGATACATTACATATCTGGTAAGTTTCTCATTCATTTAATTTATGATTTATGGTTTCAGTTATTTCAATTATTTCTTTGGCATGTATTGTCTGAACTTCTAGTAACTACCAGGGAAGAAATAAATGGAAGTGCAGTGATATGCAACTTGTGGAAATGTTAGGAGTTGGGAAAAAATTAAAATACACAGTGCCTCTCCATGTTGCCCAGTTTTTAAGCCATGAAAGGGTACTTATGAAGATGGAATTAATTATTCACGTTTTTAAGTGAATTTAATATGCAAAGGATATGGCAAAAGCAAATACTAGAAGGGCTGTGTGCAATAGTTGATGCTAGTGCAGAGCAATGGCCCGGTGCTGTATGCTGCAGATGAGAATCCCTCTCCTCCCCTGATTTTCTCACGTCCTTCCCACTTGCATACCTTCCCAACCTGTATGGTCTGTCTTTCTCAGAAAACGAACAAACAAACAAAAGAAACAAGAAAAAAAAGCAAAAACAAACAATAAAACAAACACGTAGAAAACCCCCTGAGTCTGTTTTGTGTTGACCTATTAGTAATGGGCATGAGGCCTGCCCTAGAGTGTGGTTGATATACCCAGTTCTCTCCATTGGAGAAAACTGATTTTCCCTTTCTCAGCGGGTATCAATTGCACGTAGCTTCTTGGTTATAGTAGGACTTTGTGTCCCCTTTGCCTTTTGGTGCTGGGATTTTGTCTGGTTTGACCCTGTACGGGACGATACTCACAGTCTTTGTGAGTTTATATGTGTACCAATCCTGCTGTGTCTGGAAGACAGCGTTGCCTTGGAGACCACCACTTCTGGCTCTCATGGTCTGTCTTCTCTTCTACATAGACCCCTGAGCCTTGAATGGAGGGGCTTGATAAAGATATCCCATGCAGGGCTGACTTCTCCAAAGCACACTGTTCGGTTGAGGATCTCTGTGATAACTACCATCTGCTGCAACAAGATGCTTCTCTGACTAGGGGTGAGCAGTGCAGTGATCTGAGTTCAGCCTGGTGTCAGGTTATGTGTTACGATGGTCATCAAATAGCACTTTGTCTACATGCACCGTATTAGCAATGTGAACTTTGATTACTTGTGTAAGATGGTGTGTATCAGGTTTTTCTACTATAAAATTTTCCTTCTTTGTAATTATTGAGTAATTTGCAGAGAGAGTGTGTGGTCCTGGTCCTGTAAATACCATGTTTACTTTCAAGTTTTCCTCTACTAGTTTGTTTCATTTATTGATGATTCTTGCCTTAAAAATTATTTCTGTGATGATTGAAAAATAATTTTATATTTATCAATTAATATCATTATAAGAAGATGCACAAGACAGATCTCTCTCTCTCTCTCTCTCTCTCTCTCTCTCTCTCTCTCTCTCTCTCTCTCTCTCTCTCTCAAGTGTAGACTTGAACTGGTAACTTTCTTTGCTTTATTCTGAGAGCTGGGATTAGAGGTGTGTACACCACAGCTGAGACTTCAAATAATGGGCTCATTGCATTAATATGCACTCAGAGGTTCTTATTGTTGCCAGCGGTTTACAGTACCTGACTAGCATTGTTTGTTTTGCTATTGTAACTTTCCCAGAAGTTGAAGCGCCCCCCTCCCCCCCAGCTTGTCCTTTAGCCCTGTACCTGCCGCATCAGCTTTGCACAGCTGTCTTTTTGGCACAGTGAGATGTTTCAGGTTCCTCTTTTCCTTTTCCAGTGCTGTGGTCAGTCATTTCACTAGGAAGCTCTGGTTCTTTTAATTGGAAATTCATTGTTACAGTTCAGGGTCTCTTTGCTGGACTCGCTGTAGTTTCTAGATACTAAGCATATGGACTGGGAGAGTGGCATGTCCATATACACACAAACACTTCTATTTTTTGTATCTTCATATTAGTTTAAAACACTATGAAGTTCATTATGATCCTTTTCTTTCCCATTTTTGTAGCTATTTTCTTCAAGAGTGAGAAACCTGATTCACATCAGCCTTAGCATAATTATTCACGAGATTAATTCTTCATTGTATTGAAAGCAGTTTAGAATTGTTAATGCATGCCACTGCAAAGAGAAAACAAATGTATTAATTAGAATTCAATACTATTTTTGTCCTAAGCTGAGAGTATTTTCTACTTTCTATAGACTACTGTAATTAATTACCACAAATATTGTGGTTTTAAACATGATTGATTCCTTCATAATTCTTGAGGTCAGAAATGAGAAAGTGCAGGTATAGCAGGATTCTACTCTCCCTACAGTGGCTGTAAGGGGAGACGCCTTCCTTGCTCCATTCTCCTGAGGTGATTCTAGCTGTCCTTGACTTGTGACTAGAAAACTCTATAGTGTCAACTTCATGTAGCTTTCTCTTTGTATCCTCTACTCTGTTCTTGTAGAAGAATATTCACCAATTGTGTGTATATTAGATATACACACTTAGATAACTTATCTAGAGATTTAAAAAAATTTTTTATGAGCACTATAGTAATATAATTTTCATCTTGCTCTCCCTTCTTCCAATTCCTCAAGTGTCCTTTCCACTTTCTCAAATTCATGACTCTACCCTCTTTATTAAGAACCTGTGACAGGTAAGCACTGCTCTTTTCCAGACTGGTCAGAGACTGGGAAACAAGTGAAATCTTGCATGTGTGTGAGACAAAGTTGGCACAACCAAGTACTACTTTATAAGTAAGGTAGTCTATTTCAAGGGTGCCTAAAGGTTTTATACTCTTAAATGTGTGGTGCGAGTGTGCTTTACCTTTTAACACCCTCTCCTCTTTCTTCTTTAAGGGCCATACAGCAATGCTTCATACTGGCTCATGGCATCCGAAAATAAAAGGTGAATTTATGACTTGCTCAAATGATGCGTGAGTATTGTTGGTACTTTTTTGAATGCTTCAGTAGATGTTAGTATCTCTTCACAGCTGTATCATGGCAACCCTAGTAAAGTAAGAGGTAGAATAGTAGGGATTTTAGTGTTTATGTGTTCCTATTCTTGACTTTGCTTAGACTTCTGTCTGCAGTGTAGTTTAGTTAAACAAATATGGATGCTATGGAAATGCAAGGTTTTGTAAATTCCAATAGAGTTTATCATGGGACTCACTGGATTAGACTGATGCTAGTAGAGGACCTGGATGTCTTTGCAAGAGTGACTAGAATCTCTGTAGTGAAGACTGACGCCATCCGAAATGACACTGGGTCACCCACCGTACAAGCCGGCTGCTCTTCAGCCAGAGTTCTCTTGGGGATCACTAACTTAGAGGCACTGACTCTGTTATCCATATCCGTTACCACTTCCTAGAGTGGTCTGTCAGTAATAAATTCACATGAATTGCAATTTGATTGACCCTTTTCTTGGCCTTTGACTTAGACTAGTAGGTAGTTCTGAGCTGAGGTGTGTAGCATTATACTCTGCTCTGAGGCTCCACCATTCTGGGCCTTGCGTTCCTTTGGAAGTAAGTACTACAAGATGAAAGTACAGGGATGCTCAAAGATAAGCAGTGTAGTTTTATGTGTGGTGATTATTGTTGGATAAAGTTAAACTAGAGGAAATGAAGGGTAGAGAGGGCTGGTGAGGTGGCTTAGTGCAGACAGGTACCTAACAAGCCAAGCTTGATCTGTGGGCCCCACATAGTGAGAGAATAGACTGCAAGTGTTCTAGGACTCCCACGGGGATACTTTGGCATGTATGTGTCCATGTGCACACACACATGTAAAACAGAGAACATAGAAGGATTTACCACACATAAAGCAGTTATCATTGTTGTTGTTCTCTTCCTCCTCCTCCTCCTCCTCCTCCTCCTCCTCTTTAAGGTTAAGCCTAGGGCTAGGCAAGCATTCTACCATTGACATACAGCCTGACCCCAAGAAAGTCTCCTCTTAGTTGAGCCGTTGATCATAGAGGATCATACGGAGGAGGGTGCTACAAGGGAAGGCTCGTTCCTGGCCAAAGTGACCCTGTGTTTAGAAACCCCGAGATGAGAAGACAATAGAGCATGCTTGAGGGGAAGAAGATAACTTAATGTAGGTTGGGAGGAAAGATGAGAATGATAGGAAATAAATTTGAGAAGGAAGGCAAGAGCCAGTCAAATAAGTATTTTAAGACAAGTGTAAAGGATCAGGATATTGATACAGTGAAAAACCAAGGAATTGAACAGAGCCAAATTTAATACTAATATTTTCAAGTGAGGTGAGCATTCACTGGGAATGTACACTGAGTTAGTCTGAGCAGTGTACTTTATGATGTTACGCTTTCTAAAAGCAGGTAGACAGTAATGTGATTATGTATCTCAAATGATCAAGCTGATTATGACTTTACCAACAGTATTTATTTCTAAATGCCTGAGCCAGGATTTGAACCCATTGTGAGTGATTACTCACACAAAGTGATGGTAATCAATTTACAGATTCAGATACAAGATACAAGTCCCTTTACACAAGAATGCATATAAGACATCATTTCATAAAGAACACTGGAATGTTTTTCTTCTTGGAAGGACAAATTCCCTTTGCTTTGAAGTTTCCTAGGACTTCATTGTGATGTGATACTTTTACTATATTACCTGAATGTGAAGATGGTCATGAAAGGTCACTTATAGTTAAAGAGGGCCATTAACTCTCTGTGCAGTTCTAATTGGCTTTTGAGGCATGGAGACATTCTGGCTGTGCAGGTGGAATTTTCTTGATGATCTACTTTTATGTGGGTGTGTAGCCACCTACCGAACCACAAACCCACCAGGGATTGTATCCTTGAAGAAAACAGTCTTTCTCTCTTAGTAACTAAATAAAAGTTTTTATAAAGTAACATTTAAAAGGTGATCTCTGAGCCTTAAATGTGACATTGATAGCATCCTCCTTTTCCCAAGGTTCAAGTATCACCATTTTTTTTTAAAATTTATTTTAAGAAAATACCATTCTATGGAAACTTACGTCTTATTTATGATTTCACTTTGAATAAGTGAAAGGTGTATTTTTCCTTCTTGTATTATTTCTATCTGGTTTGAAGTTACTATTATGACTCACCTTTTCTATTTGGTTTTTCTTTTTTAAAAGTGTGTGTGTTGAGTAGAGTTATGTGCATGTGTGTGTAGATGGCCTTGGAGGCCAGAGCATTAGATCCCCTTAGACCAGCCACTTGATGTGGCTAGGAACTGAACTCATATCCTCTGGAAGAGCAGTAAGGGCTCTTAGCTCTGAGTCATCTCTCCAGCCCCCTGTTTTGGAGATTTTAATAAGGTATTTAGGGTTTAAGCAAAGATATATGAACAGGTTCCACCACAGATAGCCTGTTTTGCTTGATCCTCATTTTTGTTTTATGCTGTTTCTTGGCTCATTTTGAACAATTCATTCAGACATAGTTTCTATAAAAAGAACATGGTATAGGTAGCCATTGACCTCAGCTGCCTTTCTTGTTAATGTGCTGTGCACTAAGTGCTAAACACACCCAGGAGTGTTGCTAACCTGTGGCTTCACAGCAGTGTTGGAGTAGAGGGTAGAATTCTGACAGCTGTATTCATGTAGAATTCAGCCAGTTATTCGTGGGAGGAACAAAACTGTGAATTAACTTTGATATAATAGGAGAGAGATTGATGTTTGTCAGCACTGGTTCCGTGAAGGCTAAGGTGGCACTTACAGTTTTGTTCTGGCCCAATTTCTACCAGATTAAATTGAAGACCTCTGAATGTGTCTCACAGATACTCGTGTTCTCTCATTTCTACTCCGTAAGATTCAGTATGAAACAGAGACCAAGGTTAATCTGATCCAGGCATGAGATGGCAAAAGGAAGAAGGGACAATAGCAGTCTTTTCTATTTTGTCAACCTTGCTAGAGTGGAGTGCACAAGAAAGCAGCATTTAATAATTTTATTTTTTTTGTGAAAGTAAATGGTAATGAAAACCGGATGACATTGAAGATGAAAATGCTTATGAGAAGGAATTCAGTTTTACTTGTGGGATGATAAAATATGGGGAGCCATTTTGTAATTTGTAGTAGCTTTGACCCAGGGTAAGAGTATGAC